TATAATTTATAAATGTAAATATACAGAAATTCTTGGAAAATTTTCTATCGTATAAAAACAACCTGCCACTAAATTAAAAGGAAAAAAACACAATTAAGGTAGTCTATACAACGGAAGTACTGCAATTTCTGTAATAGGTAAGTACATTCCTCAGAAACGAAATGGAATCACTACAAAGAAATGAGCATAGCCATATGCAAATTGCAGGAGCGACAGAGGTGACAGAGGTGAGCAATCGTTTCATATGGTACTCAGTTTCGGGCTATAAAGACCAGTTGTTAGCTCGGGCCGTAAATGCTATTAGCGTCGGCTCGCGCAGCCTAGCTATCGAAGAAGCGTAGAAAATGCCTCGGAGGCGTAAATGGGCCAAATACTTACAGTTAACAACTGGGAAACGAGATCGTATTCTTCAGCTGCACGACCTCTTTTTGTCGATGCGCACAGTTGCCACGCGTGATAGAAACGACGTGAGTACCATCCAGCGATGTGTGACACGTTAGACACAGATACAGTACATCTGCGAATATTCCGAAGAGGAAGTAGATCGCACCAGCGCACGACAAAGCACACTGACCGGCAGATTCGCCGAAAGACCTGTCGGAGTCGTTCGCCACGGTACGTGATATCCGAAGCAGCCCGTCGCCGACAACGGGTTTTTCTGTGTTCACCCAAACCATTTGCAACAGGTTTTATAAAGTCGGCTGCACGCACTGCAACCAACAACTGGGGTACCATTAAGCGCTCGACACAGTGCTACACGCATGCCTGAACTGGTATTGTTGCCATCCTATATAGACATGATAGTGACAGAGTACTCCTAGAAGGAACTTTCAGTTTGAGCCGATAATTGGATATTATGCCATTAAGATATTATGCATAAGTTAAAAGACGATCGATGTATCTCATATTTGACTCTTTGAAATCAGATAATCCCAATCTGATTAGTAATTCTAATTACTTAATTTATAATTAGTAATTTTAATAATAACATAGTAATTTTTAGTAATTGAGGATTTCCCCCACAGACTAGCAGGAATTCCTCAAGGTCAGGCATGCACAGTTAATTCTTCAGAGGATTTCCTTAATGTGTGTAGTACCTTTAGTATATGGTAGATGGCAAAATTTGTTCAGAAAGAAATATACTTTGTTTATTTCATTAGTGTCTTTTTACTTATAACTTTTATTGTAGATGAATGCTATTGTTTCGGAATATAGCTATATTAAAGTAGGCTGGAAAAAGTTTAGATAGGACGGGTTGTAATGTAACAAACAAAAAAAAAATAGATGGCAGGTACACGATCCGCGCTAAAATTTAAGTGTTTTAGTTTGGCGATGGTTTCTTTGATTTCTGAAAACGATAGGCTATATCATGTCATCAGGTATATGTTGTTTTTTCTTAGGTATTTCTCAGAAAAACTTAAGAATAAATCACCAAACCGTACGAGGTGTCAAAAGAATAATTAGAAAGAACACTTATGAAGTAATTTCGAAAAGATACTTGGCATTCTTTATAAAATTGTTTTTGGAGTATATAATGTAATTGAAAGTGACGACGGTTTCCACTCCGTTTCCATCTGGCCCATTGTGTTCTAGTTGCGTTTCTCAATTTTTTAAACCAATGATTAAACTATTTAGAAAAGGAAATATTAACTGAACGATATTGGAAAAATTTGTTTATAGTAGAATAAAAATATGATATATTTGATCAGTTAAAGTTTGTATTGACATAGTTGGAAAATCAAGGAACGGCCGATCAATGGAGCAGATGAAATTCGACGCTTGAATGTTATTTAAAATGTTTCCAGAAAGGTATTTTAACGAAATGCATGGAAATATTTTGTTAATTTTACAGTGACTTCAAGACAGATAGTCGCATGGTCAAATTGGAATCCTTCAGCTGGGTAAGCATTTAAATTACAGTTAGAAGTAAAATTGAATCTAAAAAAGAGTATGAACGTTTACGAGAAAGTATATTTTGGGTAAATTTAAATGTATACAAATATTCAATTAAGACATAGTCATCTTGATAGAGAGTTCTAATTTCCATACAATTTCCAAAGATTTTCGTCAAATAAACAATTAGAAACATTATAACTTTTACAGATTACTGTTAGAAAGGTGTTGTTAAGCTTCGGCAATGTCAATAATATCATTACTAGTAACAATATTAACGATAAAAATATAATGAATAGAATTATTAATAATGTGGAATTATAAAAACAAAAATACATTTAGTTTTAATTACATGATATTATGCTTTCAAACGTCACCTTCTAATAACTACCTTAACATTTTAAGGAAGTTATCAGAACTGGAACCGCCTATTTATTTTCCAATTCTGATGAAATATATCCTATTAATGATATCTACTATTTTTTAAAACAAACTACTTCTATCTTCGGGAGCACAAAGAAAGCCTTTATTTTGGCTAGGCCCGCAACAAGGGACTAGGTAATAAAGGATGGTGCCCGATATATCTGACTATATATCTGATTAATCTATGAAAATTAGGGGAAAGTCGCCCTGATTTGATGTTGCGTTTCTCCACGTTCTTAACTGTCTCGTCTTTCCTGTTATCAGCAGTATATACTGTCTGTCGTTATGGTGTTCTCTTTATTTTTATGTCTCTTCTTTATTTAATAACATTCTTAATTATGTAAATCAAATATTTAAATCAAATTCATAATAATACTGTACAAAACAAATGAATTTAACGCGTTTCAAGTTCATAACATCTTTAAGAACAAATTTAAGTTCGAAACAAAAATTAAACACTAGTTTCGTTATTTAGTAATTGATTATTCTTTATACAGATTAAAAACAGACTTAAATGTCTAATATTTATGAGATGAATAAATATATTCCATGAAATAATAATTAGTCTCTTTAGAAAAGTGATCTTAAGTATATATATTTAAATCACATTTTTGACAGAAATATTTATTAATTTTTGAAAATTCGTTAAGTTTATTTAAATATCAATTTACATAAGTCCTATTTTACAGTCGAAATGAAGATCTACATTTTATTCTTTTGCACATTGTTAATCTGCAAAGTTGCCTGCAGACCTAATTCGAAACGTGTTTCAAGACAAGTTTGCGGTAATTTATATAAATTATTTGTTTATGAATCTTATTAACATAAAGCTAATTTTTAAGTATGTTAAATTATTTGTTAATTTTAAATTTTAAAAAGTTGTAAACTTATAAAATATGGTTGCAGAATTGTCTGAATACTGGAGACCTGACTTTGATGACTGCATCGAAAACCTGGCTCCTGATTATTACAAAAATAAAGTATTTTGAATTTTTAAAATATCGTTGTTAAGATTTTGAAGATTTTAAAAAATAAACTTTAATTAACCATTGTTACTTTCTGAAACTGCAGGGAAACTTTTTGACATGACACTAAAACACACTAAAACGGATAGAGCAAATTTATATTCATTTCAAAAGTTAATTGTGGATAAGATACTGATAACCTGTACAATGATGTTACCTAAGGCTATAGCTAGATAAGGACGTGATATTATGCTTTATTGTGTTCTTTCTGATAAACAAGAAATCGAGCAATTTATGAGGTATGTGATACTTTTTTCGGTTGTGAGAAAACAAAAATAGATAATGAATGGGTAATGACGTTGTCAAGAAGTAAAGTGACAACATATTTGATTCAATAATCCGGAAGTTAAAAACAAAAGAAGCGAAAAGTGTCACAAAGTATTCCCGGCTTTCCGGTATATTTATGATATTATAGCATTTATAGAATATGTAATTATATATATTATATTTATAATATTACTTATAATTTAATTTATTATACATAATATATATATATATATATATATATTATTTTGTCTACTTAGTTTAAGAATTTTAGTCAGTGTGTTGGAAAAAATTCTCTTTTTGAAGTTATAAATATAATTTGTGAATCAAAGAAGCAACAGGTAAGTTCAAATATAGAAAAGCATACTTAATGTAGATTACTGATTTTGAATGTAAATTCAGTCATACCTCTGAACAATAGCCATTGATAAGAACATACAAAAAAGGCCATTTTTTTGTTTTCTTATCATTAAGATGTTGTTGTTATTGGAGGTTCGACTTTCATTCGGTTTGTGAAACTCACAGTATTGTATGTATTTTATTCTACATAGGAGGATCTGGAAGCAAAATATTCGGATTGCTTTTCTATTATGCATTCCAAGACTGAAAATGAGTATGATGTAAGTGATAAATTATTTAATACTTCGTCAATTATATTTTGTAAAAATACAACAATTACAATTTATTATTATTTCAGGATACACTCTTATACATAGGAGTGTGTTTGTTTGGTGAACAATAAAAAAAATGGCTTTGTTAAATATAAAGTATTAAAACATTTTTAAATGTATTAAAATATTCAAGTAAATAGAACAAGATACCTATAAGTAGAAACATATTCTAGAGAATTAATAATAAACAAGTATAGAAAATTACAGTAAACTGTACCGAATATAATATTTTAATTAATCATAAATGCTTTAGAAACATAAAATATCGAGTCTTATTTTTTTATGTTTTTTATATAAACTGAAGTCGGAATAGCGATATTTTGCAATTATTTAATGACAAAATTAGACATTAATATACAAAAAATAATTTTCTTAACGGTCAAGTAGAAAATTACTTTCAATAAAGAGTAAAAATGTCGAAATTCTGCTGAATGTTAATTTATTTATTATACATGCACAGTTAATGAATCCCATATATCTATATATACTGAATATTTATGACTTATTTTATAAAAAAAAAGTAATGTTCTAAACTAACAACTTTATTTCACTTGATTCAACTTTAAAGCAGCAATATTTATCACTTTCTTTCTTTCTTTTATTCTAAGTATTATTATAATGCAAATAAGTTAGAGATATAAATTATTTTACATCTCATATTTTAAACGAGAATATTTTACATTTAATGCATTAATTTCCTTTGCAATAAATATGAAGTAAAGAACTTGAGATCAGAAATTCTACGAAGGAGGGAGTCACTAATTTCAATTTTATGCTGTTTATATTACTATTCTGTGTTCGTCGTTTGCAACGAAAGTGTAGAGAAATTAAACTAGTCTCATAAGTTTGTAATTCTACACATGTTTTATTAATACAGTTTATTTCTAAATATATGTAGTACTAGCGGATATGTCAGGCGATCCCCGAGCAAAATGTAAGAACAGCAAAGATTGAAATGAAAACCATGTTAACATTTTGATTATTTTACTATACCACTGCTGTGTTTATCATAAAGTGTTAAATAAATTATAAAAAGAAAATAGAAAATATAACAGAACTAAATAAAAACGACAAAAATCTACTTTAAAAAAGAAAAATAAATCAATCTTATTTAAATTCAGTTAAGAAAATTAAGACAAATCGACAATTATTTTGAGGCTAATTAATAAATGAGTTTTGCTTGGCACATTGGAAAACTCCCAATATGTGTTTTGTGCTTGCTAAGATTGTGAAGCTCGTATTGTACGGATTGGCGCAATTTCATTGGCCAGGTAAACAGAAATTTTCGTTTTTCAACAGAAAATTGTTGACTTTCATGAATCAAGAAATAGAAATTGTTTTCTAATATTAACTGTAACGTCCCATTCACAAACAAATATGAAATGGTAATCAACCAACCAATCAAACTTCACCAAAAATGAACAAAAAATTTAAACTAACCCTTGAAAACTAAAAAACATAATTTGTGATTGCTGATAATTTCGTAGCAAAGTAATTAGGCTACTTTCTCGGCTCTTATAAAACAGGGAAAGTATGGGCAATTTGTTCGGGAGATGCTAAACAGATACGTGGCCGTATCTCAGCAAGCTTCCAAGTTATGCCATACGCAAGTTTTTAGCCGAGAAAGTTATGCAAAGCATTGCTGGTTTTTTCTTATTGGAATTGGAATGCCAAATTCCATTGATCTGACAGAAAGATTGCCTTTTTCAGGGCAGAGAATAAAGATAATACGACCAAAAGTAGTAGTCAACAATTTCTGAATGAAAGAGTACTTCCTCAAAATTTTAATTACATTTGCTGAAACTATATTGAACTGTGTAAAGAACAGACTAACTAACTAAATTCTTATTACTCGTATATTTGATCCTCCTTATAATGAACACCTAAAATATTGGTTTTAATTAAAACTGCCATATAATCCGTTAATTAGTTATTTATTTATATTTATTTAACCCGGCGTGAGTGAGGCGGGGTATGTCATACCCGACAAGATTTTAAACGCAGATTATTTAATGTTATTTTTGTCATGGAAATCCCGTCGTCACAGTAGCTGGAGATAAGGGAGTAGGAGACGAGGTGCAGTGTTGAGTTTAGTGTTGCGCCTGCGTCAGCGGGAGATACATATGAGCAAAGGTGACTGGGGTACGTCATACCCGACCTCATAGTCGGTGTTACATTTTTGAGTTGACAGTAAGTTTATGAGTTACAGTTATTTAGGCCTATAGTATTTTTAGATTTATTTCTAGATTTCTCAAATGATAGTCTTCGCATTAGACAAAAAAACACATCTTCCAAGGGAAACTCGAAAAGTGATCACTGATGAACTGGGAGTACCTTCATTACCTGTTTCCAAAAAATGGCTAATAAATATGTCAGGTGTAGTGAGTGTACTAAAAAACAGATAGGAAAACAAAACATTGCTGTTCGAAGTGTGAGAAGCCAATATGTATGAAGCATGCGATTTTTATGTGTGGAGATTGTGTTGATTTTTAGGTGTAATGTTGGCGCTGTGCAAATTGATCTCATAAGAACTTTTAGTTTTTTTCTATTTTTATAATTGAAAGATACTATAGTTATGTTGATTAACCAAAGAAGTTGTAATTTTGTTAGAATTTTATACGAAAAAATGTTAAACTACCAAAACTTGTAGTTTTTCAAAGAAAATATAGACACTTTGTTATTTCAATTAAAAAAAATGCTTTTCAATCTTAAACATAATATTTTATTTACTCATCTTGTTGAATAGATACTATTTTTATTATCCCAAGTGAAAAAATACTTTTTACACAATTATAGTATAAAAAATTTTGCATCGAAGTTTCGGGTATCTCCTACCCACCTCATAGCTGGTGTGACAATTTCTCACCTCATTCACGCCGGGTTAAAGCCTTAAAAAAACTCAAAATTTACGCTGATTTAAATTATCGCGGCATTTCATTAATTCATATATCATACAATTATTTACGAACACGAACCGATCAGAAAAGGGTGGCAAAAAGGTGTACTTTTTTTAAAAAATATGTTTGTTTGGTGCAATTTTGGAAAAAAATATAACATCGTGGATGCCATAAGCAATATCGGCTTCGCTTGACAAGAATTAACTGATAAATGCACGAACGAAGTGTGGAAGAAGTTATGGCTGAAGATATCCAAGAATTCTCCCCGAGAAGAGCCTATCACTGTATGGTTTAGTTGACCAAACTCAACCTAATCGATAGAGCAGGACTAGGAGATGTAGACGAGCAGAATACTGAAGAGTTACAGCAGGTTTTTACTAATATCCTTATCAACGACGACATTCAAGAACTGGCAGAACAAGGAATTCATGTAGAACTGGAAAACAGAGTTTCTGAGAACGAAGAACCCAAAGAACTTGTTACAGATTTCCTTAGTAAAAGTTTGGTAACGATAACCGAAATCGTTGATCAAATTGTAGCGAATGATCCAGATTTTGAAAGCAGTGCAAAAGAGAAACGAGTCGTTTTGGATGCGATCATCTACTACCGACATTTGCTTAAGGAAAGAAAAAAAGCGACAAATGAAACTACAGGAGTTTATCGCAAAAAACAAGAATTTCAGAAAACCCAGGACCTTCCTCACAAAACATGAACTTTGCATTTTTTTTGTGCTTATGTTTATGTGTTATTTAACATATATTATACAAATTAATATAAAAATAAGTTAAAATTAAAGTTGTTAAATTTCTTTCCTGTCATTTCCTATGTGTGTAGCAATGATTTCTGTTATATAAACTTTTGTATTTGTATTGTGTAGCAACGCTTCGTATCATATAACCATTGTATTATTTTTTATAATAAATCAACGGCCATGACGTGGCGTCTTTTATCAAGCCGGCCACTTTTTGGTTCTGTATGACTTGAAACGGATCAAAGTAGTCGTGTATGATTTTTTAAACTTACTTGTAAGGTATCCTACTCACTATCTGTGAACACATAACTTGCAACAGTGATATATTCAACAGAAGTAAAATTTGTTTATTTCGGTCGAGTGTTCTCCTATCCCTATTTACTCTGTGTTAAATTACCTCGTTTAACGCTGTTTCGTTTAGCGCTCTGTCGGCCAGGAACGCATGCCCCACGTTAAGCAGGGTCTTACTGTATTATTTAATTAGATATGATTGTCATCGTAACATTTGACAATGATTTTTACTTGTAATGCCAAGTTGGGGTTTTAAGGTAACACGTCAATTTAGTCATTTCAACAACACACAAAGAATTTTTTCTTGTAATACATACAGAACGTTCGAAAGAAGTGGCTGCATCGATACTCAGGTATGAAATTTCATAAACGCTATCTAATTTATTGCCATATAGAACAGAATTGTCTTCTCTCTTCAACGTTTCTTCTTGTGTAAAAACTAAAATCCTTCGATTGAAGATAATTAATTGCTGAAAAATTGTTCTTGGCATAATTTTGTAAAGAATCAAAGCATTTTTGCACGAATATCGGGACTTTAGGTGATGTGATAAATTGGATGAATTTTACGGTTATCCAATATAAAACGATTCGAAACGAAACATTTGAAAAATATCAATGAATCATTTAAGTACGCAAGAAACAAGGACGGACTCGAATGAAGACCTTCAAATACTATTCTTTAAACTCAGTTATTTAAACAATAGTACTGTATAAAGAATAAAAATGTTTAGTTTGATGAATTTGCATGATGGAAACTAAACGGAAATTTTAATTGAGACGGAGCGTTAACGACTTCTTTTCTATGTCGCTTACAGAATTGTTCGTTCTCGAAATCCGTTCGATCGATTTTGATTAAACTTTGCCATTTTCCTTTAATTGCCATAAGGAATCCAAAAATGGGTTGAGGGTCCATTTAAATGTTAAAAATAAAGCATCATGACTTAGTTTTCGATATATAGATAGGTTAAAGTGACAATGTCTGAGCTCTCTGATTCGACTGAGCGCGTCTAATGGAATTTAGTCCAAGGGGTCAAAAATAAAAACAACATCGCTTGCGCCTAATGGAAAATAGGCCCGAAAAAGGAACGAAACACAAGAACAATGCAATCTCCATCGATTGCTTTTGTAGCCTTTCCCGCATAGGGGTATCTCGATAACACAAAAGTATATCGTTATCACGAGTAGTTTCAAATTATCGATACCGGCCAGTATCTGTATCGAGTATCAAAACCGGTAATCTTTCCGGCCGTCTCTGTTCAGTCTGCCGCGTCGCCTTTCAGTTGTTTTTACTTCTGCGAAGGTACATCTATCCCTCTTTTCGCTAAGTGAAAAAGAAAAATCGCGTAGGATTCACAACTTCGATGTAATGAAAAAGTAAGCGATATATAAAAGAAACACGAGCTTTATTATTCTAATAAAATTTATCATTAACATTATTTGTGGTAAATGAAAGTCATCAGAGTTTCATGATTATGTAAAATTGTAGCTCTAAATATTTCGAATTCATGATAATACTTTATTAGGGTTTTTATCTGATTTTTAATAATTAATATAACTTTTTGATGTGTAGTGTATCAGACTTGCTTGAAATTCTATTTTAGCATCTTTATCTCATGAATCATTGGGCGTGTTGTTTGATAAGTAACCTTTAATATAGCTGAATAAGCAAATCAATGACAGTCTATTTGAAATCGTGCATTGCGAGAGGTTCGGAGAAATTTGTGAGATTTTGATATAAAGTAAATATTTATAAAAAATGATATTTTAATTAAAAAATTTGTAATATTTTAGTATTACAATAATAGAGATTATAACATAATTATTAATGTGATTATTTTAAAGATAGGAAACGTTTAATGGTTCTTACATCATACATACCTAAGATCGGACTGTTCCTTTTACGTATCGTAGAAAAGTCCCGATTAAACACTTTTGTTTCATGAAAATTTTTTCTCTACATACAGAGGGTTAACGAGTTGTCTCTTTTGAGATCGGTAATGAACTACTTACAAGATATAATGAAGATAAACGTAATTAAATATCAAATTATTAATGTAATGTAAGATAAAATCGCAGTCATAATACTCCAAATCAATTTTTCAGTTACTCGACCCCCCTATAACACTGTTGATTATTCCGTTTTATATGAATTCCATGTTGTACGAGTCACTTAAATTTTACAAATACGTGTGCCGGGCTGTGAATGGCTAACGTATTTGTAAAATCTAAGTGACTCGTACAACATGGAATTCATATAAAATGGAATAATCAACAGTGTTATAGGGGGTCGACTGTATTCATTGCTTTCCCTGTGAAAATAAACAAATTTAGGCAATAAAGAAAAAATAAAAGTTGGTACAGAACGGAAAAGATTTTTTGATAATTATAAATACTGTATATTTCGATTGTAGACATTTATAAAATTTTCAGTTTGATTGTCGTTATTATGATCTGTTAAATTCTGTTTATAGAACACAATTTCAGTCTCTTCAATTTATTCCTTTTTACTAAACGAGAAAAATATTTATAATTTTTATGAATTATGCTTATGAATGTTTGTTCCTATTCATGAAATTTTAGCATTCTAGGTATAGATAAATAGAAATAAAATGCAACTTTACAGATGAATTTCCTTAGCAGATCGATACGAAAACTTTCCTTATTTGTTGAATACTTGAAAATAGATAATGACTAATATTGCTTACGTGACATATGCTATAAATATTAAAAAATAATAATAATTAACATCAAAATAAAGTTTTATGTAAATAATTCATTACATAAATATGTTTTTATTTGCAGTTTCTTAATCTTATTAATTATCTTCAACTTTATTTCTTAAATCAACTAACAAATTAAAATAATTAGACATAATAGCTTTTTCTATAACAAAATACATCACACTAATTCAAAAGGTATTTATTCGTCAACTCATTGTTCTCAAAATGAATATCATTAGTGCATTTGTAATATTTTATGGTTTAACAATTGGTATAAATGTTTTTCCTCTTAACAATTACAAAGCAATTTTGTATATTTGGAAAAACTAAAAATGTTGTATTTCTTCACACTTCCATTGTAAACTGTTTCTAATGGCGTTGCAGGTTGTCATTCTTATGGCATGACCCATAAGTATGACAACCTGCAGCACCATTTGAATGAACTTGACTGAGCAGAAGTCAGTCAAGGATCATTCAAATGCTTATTAAAAAGTTTGCTGTTTTGTTGCTAAGCCTAAAACTGTGACTTAATTTTAACAGGCATTACCTTTTAATGTCAAAAATCTTTAGATATGGGATGAAAAGTTGAAAATAAATGTTTTAATAAGCAAAGAAGGTTGTGAAATTGGCATAAAAACTTCCACAAATTTTTCAAAATTATCTAAATTGGCAAGAAATTGTAGGATCTGTGTGCCCTGCATCTATTTAAAACTATCCATAATTGTTGAAGATTGTAATGCTAATAGTTTAAGATAAGATCCTCAGTCTCTCTTTAAACATATATATTTGATATAATCTGTTGCAACATAAATTTCAGGTGTTGAAATAAAGCAAATTTTATCGAAAGATTTTGAAATTTGTTCATTATATGGTGTAATGCATGTGTTTGTATGCAGCATATGCTGGGAATTGTCAATTGTTCATTATAGTAAGAATTTGGAATTAGGGAATTTCCTGTATAATGTTTTTATAAAACTTGACATTAAATAAACGTTTATCTGGACATCCACTTTAAATCATTAATTCAGTTAATCACAATTTCTTTGATTTAAATTTATTACACATTATAAAAACAGAATACTAATACAGTGGAACCTCGGTATATGACCTTAATCCGTTTCTGATGTTTAGACTTATACTGAATTGGACGTATATCAAACCAACCTTTCCCTTAAGAAGTAATGTAAAAATGATTAATCCGTTCTCGTGTAAAAAAATGGCTGGCTTTAAACACCTCGCTGTCCTGGCTAGTTCCTGCTTGATTTTTCGTGAGATCAACGTGTATCTTTTTAGCTTTCTCGCAAATAATTTCTTCCGATACGNTTGATTTACAGATCTCTTTTACAATCGCCATGAAGATCTATATTTTATTCTTTTCTGCATTTTTACTCTGCAAAATTGCCGGCAGAGCTAATACAAAATCTATTTATTCCTCTCAAAAAACTGATATTTGTGGTAAGTTAAATGATTTATTTACAAATCTTATTAACATAAATCTGGTTTTTAAATATGTTAGATATATTTTTTTTCTAATTTTAAATTGTGAAAATTCCTAATCTTATAAAATTTCATTACAGATTTTCCTGAATTCTTTACAACTAAAGTTTATAATTGTGTCGAAAACCTTAGCTTTCATAATTACAGAGATAAAGTAATTTTTAATTTAATCATAATCCTTTATTATTAACATTTCGAAGATGTTAAAAAATAAAATTTAAATATATTCATGTTATTATAGTAGTTATAATGTTTACATGCATATTATTTTGTCTATTTAGCTTGGACACTTCATTAGATGTTTCCGAAAGGATTCCTTTTCTGAAGTCATAAACACGCTTTGTGAGTCAAACAAGTCAATGGTAAGCTTAAATATGAAAGGCGTACACGATATAGGCCTACATTATTAATTTTAAATATAAATATATTCAAACCTGTAAACAACGACTACTGACCGGTAAATAAAATATGGCCGCCGTTTGTGTTGTCGTTTTTTGAAGTTCTATTGTATTGTTCTGTCTTTTTATATATATATATATATTGTTCTATTTAGAATGAAATCCAACGAGAATATCCTCATTGCTTTGCTATTTTCAGTTTGGAAGACGAAATTAATATTTCCGTAAGTGATAAATTGTTTTATAATTTTACACTTTCTACTTTATAAAATATTTTTATTTTTATTCTCATTTTAGTCTATACATGAAGACTTGATGAATTGTATCTTCAGCAATAAATAAGAAATAAAAGGCTTTTTTAAAATATAATGTATTAAATATTAAAATCGATTTTTAAAAATATTTTTTTTGTATTCCTTATTATAGTATTTAGAATGATGAGCAATCAGTAATGAGTAAATGCTCATTAATAATATAGCGCCTAATAGACGTGCTATATCATTACTGAGACAAGTAGCAAGTGGCACGCGCATTCAATACAGGCAGGAAGACACTACTAATTTATGGTGGAGAGCGTATATTTTAAATTAAATAAATTTGAACTAACGTTAAAGTATGTAATTTTAACAATATCTTAGAGTAGAGGTTCCTAACTTAACCGATAAAATTTGGATTCTACAATAAAATTAGTTTTTTGTCTTAGTTAACAATTTCGAATATGTATCAAAAATTTTTAAAAATAATGTTTTAATAATTAAGATTTCATAGGAAATGATTTATTCACTGACTCAGCACAGATAAATTCAAATCTATTTATTTGTCAAGTCATTGCTTTCAAATCACATATCAATAGTACATTTGTAACGTTCTATCGTTTAACAGTTAATAAAAATATCTTTCCTATTATTCAATTCAAACAGCAATTACAAAGCAATTTTGAATATTTAGAAAACTAAAAATAAAAATTTTGTTAAGAAAAACTATTTAATAAAATTCGCAAATTAAATACAACTATTACGTTCAGTTTATTTTCTATTAATTTAACAACGGTAAAAATTTTATAAACATATATATACAGTAGAGCGTCGTTTATTCGAAGGTCGGTTATCCGAAACGTCGGTTATCCGAAGGAATTCCAGTCGCCGAATTTAAATTTTCGCCAGTGCTGTGGCGCTGTAATCTTTGGCTATGTCTTCAGCTACTCAAATATTTTACGTTTTTGATACTAAATTAACTTCTGAAGTATAACTTTTTTATTGTTTTTATATTTTTCAATATATTTTGTTTGTACAAAATAAAAAAATAATTTTTAACGATACAATAGTCTTCGTTAGGCTTAACATCGACGAAAATTCAACGCGAAGCGACACGCAACGGAGAAAAATTTCAACACGGGATAAATTAATATATTTTTTCGTATATAATTAGTTATCAGAAAAAAAGTTATCCAAACAACCCCAGTCCCCAATTGATTTGGATAAACGACGCTCTACTGTATTGTAAAACATTACTTTTAGAAAATTGTTTTAGTTAAGTTACGTCAACTCAACACTTGGGCGATCTGCCCAGGGGGTGCCTTCCGGGAGGTCTGTTTTAAGGATAACTGCCCCTATTCAGGCATTAAAGACGTGGAGAAAACCAGGAAAACTCTATGTAGACAACCCGTGCCAGCCCTTCCTGGCCAGGCGCGAACCCACGACCGAACTCCCAGTGTTCGGGAACAGAATTACTTGGCCAGTAGTGGGCACTATATTGTATTAAGATTGATTTAAAAAACAGCAGAATTTTAATGAACTTATTATTACGCAAAAGCCATATTCACATTGATTCGTATTGGCGTAATAGTCATTTTCTAGATACGTATTGTATTGTATATTTGATAACGGGATCCCTTTTAACCGATCTCTCGATACTACCGCGAATATCAAAAAATCACATTAATTAAATACTGTATGGTTAAGCAGGGCCGGATCTAGGTTTATCGGAGCCTAGGGCTTATTGAAGTTCATGATGCTTCCTTTTTGTTACATTAAGAATCTTTAAATTGAGATTTAAAATTCATTTTTAATAACATCAAAATCAGAGTTGAAATACAGTACATTTATTTATGAAATGGTGTTGAATAACAAACTTTATATCTTATATTAAAAAAAACATAAGAAATAGAATATTAAAAATTTATGATAATTCAATTTTTGTGGGCCCTTCACACCTGGGGTCCTGGGCTTAAGCCCTATTAGTCCCAATGTAGATTCGCCTCTGATGTCAAGTAAAGACAGCTGGTAAAGCCGCGTTAATTAAAATTTCTGCAGCAATTAATTTCGCGGGTTAATTAATCAAATACAGTACCGCGTTAAGCAAGAGATACCTGTATTGCAATACCCTTATGCAAGCCAGAAACTTTAGCACAAGGTGTGTTCTAACAATTTTCGATTTAGGAAATAATATTATCGTACAATTCTTGATTATTACTCCTTTCAAAAAATGCCGGATTATCGAATATTTCAGTTTATTGCTCGTCGGATTAACAAATTTCTCTTGATAATTTTACATCATTAAAAATTTTAAACACACTTTAACAATAACTAAACGTTGAGTTGCAAAATAGGATTGCTACAGAGCAAGAATACAAAAACAGGAAGAAACAAGCTTAATTTTTCTCTGTATAAACTTATAATAAAATATTAAGAAAGAATGTTTATAGGTTAATTATCATTAAATGTGTAATACAATCCAGTATTGATAATATTCGAATTTAAATATACAAATATTTAAATTTGGAAATCTTGGAATTACAAGAATTCTTGGAATGTTTTCTATCGTATAAAAAGACCTTGCAACTGATAAAAACGAGAAAGGCAGTGCACATAAGGGAAGAATTACAGTTTCTGAAATCAGGTAAATAGAAAATCGTGTAATTAAAACTAAATGTATTTTTTATAATTCCTTAGTATTCATAATATTCTTAGTAAATGAGTAAATAATATTACATCCATGATAAATTTTTACATAGGTCTATTAAAATTAGTAATTTTTAAAGTAGGCTATAAACAAAATAGCAATATACTAATTAAGCATTTATATTCGTTGAAGAATAGTAGAGTTAACAAGTAAAACGGCAAAGCTGTATTTGTGACAAGACTATATTTCGGAGATTCACTGCTAAGCGGAATCATTTCGACGCTCACGACCAAGGTTGCCACTCGCGACATATGAAAAAACTTGGGTCTGGATGGGAAAAACCCGGATTATTTACCCAGAAAAATTCATGATTAAAATCTAATTATAGATACTTTATCATAATACATTCATACTGTTATAATTACAAACACTATAATACAAATTTAAAAAACCATTTGTGAACCGCCGGGATGGTCGAAACGGTCGTACCTCCCTTTTCGGCTACAGGTCATCAAGCCTGCTCACTTGTCAAGATGGCTAAATTACGAATGCGGTCCCGAAGGGTCGAGATTCTTTTTGATCAGGTCGAGTGGAGGAGGTGAGAGGGGTCGTCGATGAGGCGTAGGCGATATGCGAGTAAATGACACCATTTAACAATGGAAACAACGATTTATTAGATTAAGGAAAATTAACGATTACAATCTCTAACAATTTGAGGAATGAATTTAGTCCGCTAGCTCCTAACTCGCGGAGAGAGAGTTCACATCAAATGCTCCATACCTCTAGTATATTTCAACGTAGACGTTAGTAGGTTATGCTCTTTTCCTTCCGATTGACGCAAAGTTAAATATATCCCGAGACTTAATCCTCTCCGACCAGCCGTAGATGATAGACTCCCCCCGAGGAGGGGGAAAGAAGTCGCTTTTATAGCTTCGGGCTGGGGAAATTAGTCATGTGATCGATCCCCTATTATGAGACGTAGAGTTGGTCTTGCAGGTGTGTAGGTTAAACTTGTTCCCGGGACCAAAACAAAATGACGAATTCGGACTTTAACTATAAACTTTGTCTGTCTTGCAGCAGAGCAGAGCCGGCTCTACCATAGGGCGAACGGAGCAGCCGCTCCAGGAGCTAAGTCCTAGGGGGCACCTCAGTGGTAAAGAAAATTAAAGGGTATAAATTAGGGGCAACCAAGGGGGCGCCATAATAGGATCTCGCTCCATACTAAAACTTGCCTCGGGCCGGCACTGCAGCAGAGGAATGTCATTGTTCGAGGGTTGAATGTTTATATCAGTGTTTCTCAACGGGAGCGATATCGCCCCATGTGGGCGTTTTTCCATGTTGAGGGGGCAATTACTAACAATTTATATTTTGGGGGGCAAAAAAACAATTTTCTGGGCGATATAGTAAAACATTACATTAAGAATAATTAGATATTTTATTCGTTATATCGTACAATAATTAAACAAATGACGATATACTAGTCACTATTCTATTCAATGCAGTACGAATTTGGCGTTAGTCTTGGCCCTCGGCATCGAAATTTTGTACTGAAAGGGGCGATACTACGTAACGGTTTTACTGAAGGGGGCGATACTACGTTGAAAGGGGGCGGCGATTCGTTAGAGGTTGAGAAACACTGGTTTATATTAACGAGGAAAGTTATAAGTTGCTATCGATATTTGATTCTTTTTTCCGATAATGTTATTTTAACAAAGAGGCGACAAATTTATTACAAATATATCGGAAGTTTAGGTGGAAAGTTAAAAATTAGGTTTACACTGAGGTCGGATCTCACACTTTTATTACCTAATTTACACAGTAGTTAATGTTATTTCAAAACTACTCTGTTCTTCTTTTTCCATTAACAGTACTGCACAATCTTTATGCTCTTCTTGTCGCTTCTTATACCTTTGGTGGCAAACTCTTTGTACTGCATCTCTAATTAGTTCAGGTTCGGGTTCATACAAAACATTTAACTATTGAATCATCAAAGAACAGATCGCTTGTTTAGCAAGCAACCTGTTCTTTGATGATTCAATAGTTAAATGTTTTTGTTTTTGAAATTGTTGTATTAATTTCAAAATACACGCAAGCCGTACGGATTTTTAAGTAGCTGGAGGTGTTGCTGTTTGCATCACGATAGCAAATCATTGTGGGGTGTGACTTTATAGCTTGAGTAAGTGCTTAAGTGTATCTGAATGTTTTTAACTCCACGTGATTTAGGATTCAGCGAATAAAGTATTATGCTTTTCGTTTTTGTTTATAAAATTTAAATTCTTTTATTATTTAAGTCATTTTATTTCAATAAATATAAAATGACTATAATATATGAACACACCTGAATTCTACTTGCCGAGTTTTTATATCTTTATTCAAACGTTTTCAGCCTATTTGGATAGGTCATTCTCAGGTTCTCCTTTATCGTTCCAAAATGGAACCATTCGTTCGAATTTTATTTCGATTTGAATTTTTGAAAAAAAATTTAATATATATGAAAACAATTTATTACGTTTGAAGTTCACAGAATTCTTATAAACAAATTTGTTTTAAGTTCAAAGAACAACGCGTGTTAGTTTATTTATTATTTGATTAGACTTTATAACGATAGAATTGACTGAAATTTCAACATTTACTGAGTTGAATAAAGTAATAAATACAGAGATTCTTCTATTTAAAATAAATTAACAAAACTTTTCCCAAGAGAGGGCAATAAATAAGTATATTTTCGTCATTAATTTTTATTGCCAATTTCGTTTGTTTTAAAAGATAAATTAATTATTGATTTACATAAGATATATTTTGCAGTCGCCATGAAGATCTACATTTTATTCTTTTTCGCATTGTTTGCTTGCAAAATTACCTGCAGACCTAATTCATTATCTTTTAATTTCCATACGGATCACATTTGTGGTAAGCTATATATATATTTTTATGAAAATAATTAATATAAATCTGATTTTTAAATATATTAGATATATTTTTTTATAATTTTAAATTTTAAAAAATCTTAATCTTATAATATATAATTATCTGCAGAGTTTCCTCAACCGATTAGAACCAAGATTTCCGAATGTATAGAATACAACATGCCTCGTAATTACAAAGAAGAGGTATTTTTTAAAATTTAATTATAATGTTTTATTAATTTTCTGAATATTTATAAAATTTAAATTTAAATATATTCATGATCAGTTATAATGGTTGATTTGCTTTCTTACATATTATTTTGTTTTATTTTAGTTTGAGCGTTTTAATCGATGTTTTGGAAAAGATTCTTTTGCCGAAGTTATAAACATGATTTGTGAATCAAACGGACGAAAGGTAAGCTTAAAGATGAAAGGTATATTTAATATAGATTATAAATTTAAAATATAAAAATATGGCACAACTTCTAAACTAAGGCTACTGATTACAATATAAGAAACGGCCGTCCTTTAGGGATTCGATTGTATATTATTCTGTTTAAAAAATTTACAAATGATAAAATATGTTTTTTTATTTTTGACTAATAAATTATTATTATTAAATTAGTTTTGGCTAATAAATTATTCTAAAATATATTTTATTCTATTTAGAACGGCGTCAAAGAACAGTATTTATATTGCTTTTCTTTGTTGACTTTTGACGAAAACGAGCATCCCGTAAGTGATAAATTGTTTAATATTTCTATATTGTTTTATATTATGAAGTATAAAATTATGGTAATTTTTTATTATTTCAGTCTGTAAAACAAGACATAATAAATTGCGTCTCAAATATTGCCTAAGTTATAAAAGGCTTTTATTAAATGATATGCATTAAAATTTATGTATTAAATATTAAAATTCGTTATTAAATAAATATTTTTGTTTGATGAATATATAGATTAATAGTTAATATTTAAATATATATTAATTACATAAATAGCATTTTATGATAGTTGAATGATTGAGTCAAAGAAAACAATTAAAAATGAAATGTTATCTTAATGTATTGGATGTAAACAATTCAATAATAAATTTTGTGACTAGACTACACCTATAACATATACTTATAAAATGAAAATAGGTAAAAACACAGTTGACACAAACACTGTGTTTATATCCATTTTGGTTTACATAAGTATAGTGTTATAGGCGTAGTCTAGCCACAAAATACTGTATGACAATTCGTTTATAATTAGCGATTATGGCATTCATGGAAATTGGCTCACTCGCTTAGCTCGTATGCCAAACTTCCATCATTCATGCCTATATATAAGCCTATATAAACGGTTGTATATCAGGTTAACTGGATTTACACTTATTGAATATATTTATATAACGTTCGAAATTAAAATCTATATTCTAAATATTTTCTCAATTAAATAACAATAAAATAACTATTTTTTGATACTTAGTAGTAACGGATTATGTTCCATTGAGATCCTATACACAATTTTGCTGTAAGGATTTTTTATGTAAAAGTGTTTTCTATATTAAAACAAATTAAATCATTAAATAATAACAATTTTTTATTTATAGTATACGCTTTTTAAACGTACAATAAAGTTTAAATGTCATATTATCTTTCTGCTGTATAATTTATAAGAACCAGACGTGCGACCACAAAAAATCCTTAAAACATATTTTATGATCGCTGGTAATTTTGAAATAATATTACGTAATTTTCCTATTCAAATGTAAGCAGCTGGTGCGATAGAAAGGAGTGTTGCGGAATGAGGTTGAAGTTAATTCGAGCAAAACTAATCGTTGACCTCTTCCTGGAAGAGATGATATGATCCCTGAAAGGTTTCGATGCAGTTACTCAAATCGTGTGGAAATGCGTACAACGCTGGGTTAATTAAAATAGTACTGTTTTATTTTATGTTAAATAAATTGAACAATATTTTTATAACTTTAATTAATGTTTTCTATATTTTTCTTCTTCTTTCAATGGTCAATATGGAGTGTGTGCAGCTCATATAGCCTATTTATTCGAAGAACGAGAATATGGACGCATACCGGACTTATAGATGGAATGGTCATACTCGCGGGGAAAATAATGCCTTTCGGGAGGTCTTTTAAGGGAAACTGGCCCATATTCGGGCCTTACAGACGTGGAGAATACCCGAAAAACTCCACATGCCAGCCCGTCCAGCCCAGAGCGAGGGGTGAACTTACGACCGAACTCCCAGTGTTCAAGGACGAAGACAGCTTGTTCTATATCTTTAAGATATTTAAATTTAAATCTAACTATAGATATACAATTTTTTGGTCCATATTCATTATAATTTATAGAATAGGGTTGTTTATGATTATATTTATAAGCAAAGTCGACTAAACTAAAAAATCTTGTATGGTTATTTTTCATTAACTAATTTATTAATATTGAAATGAATGTTACAAAAACAACAAATATTTATAATAATTAATACATTAATT